CCCATATCCATTTAACAGAGGTGGGGACCAATGTAGATAATATTTCAGTAACTTAACAGTGTCTAGAAGAGCTTCTGAAAGACCTTGATCTTTCCAGGTAACAAAACTATGTTCTCAGAGAGTGCAGAGTTCAAGTCAGCTTTGGTTGAAGTGAGGCTTAAGAAAGAAAACTAGATGATGGATCGCTTACTTTAGCAAAAACGAAGAAATTTAGGCAAAACTTCTGTGTGGGGTCTAAGTTTCAGCTTGTCCTTATGGAATGCTGTTTTGGGAATGAATTCACCATGAGGGCATGGATCACTCCTAACTGTCAGACTCAAGTTATAGGCACTAAAATATCAGTTTTCACAGAAAATAGTATAAAAGAATCGGCTCCTACACATCTGAATGGGGGCCACGTACAGCCTAATAAAAGCAATTTTGTGGTCCAAAAAGGATGGAGTCTCTCTGATTGACATGAACAAGGCCCTTGAGAAATCTCAGAATGATCAACCAAAACACATGAAAACTGCATGACTCCCACTCAAAGGAGAAGAAATTGATCTAAACAGAACATGCTCGAGCTAATGAAGAGCCCAGCTTTCTGAAAGGATCAAAAGTAATCAGATCAGTTTAGCCAAAATGGCAGTGCAGGGGTGTTAGCAGGCACCTCATTCACTGTCAGTTTAGCAGCACTTGATCCAGACCTCAAATTACCTTTTGGTTAAGAAATATGAACTAGAACAGGCAGGACTGGCAAGGACTCAATAGTCAAAAAGTCTCGTTTCTAAGAAAGTGCCTTGTAAAGCAGTGCAGGGTTGAGATTTACCAAAGATTTTGCAGTATTTTCTGATTCTGTTCAATGACTTCCTTTCACAGCTGACTATGAAATACAAAAATATAAGAATGTGATACATTCCCTCTCCTGTCCTTTACTAGAAAAAGTATACAAACGCATATCAGAAATGTATGGCTTAGATGCCCCTTAGAGGACTCACCTTTGACAAGCACCAGTTTCCTTGAGGAGGAAATGGATGATCCAAGCCTTGCAGACTGATTACACCATCTTGGAAAAGCACTTGTACCAGACACAAAATAAAAACTGTAACACTTACTGAGGAGTGGAAAACCAACAACTGCAGCTTCAACTAGCACAGCATGCACAGCAGGAGATGTGAGCAAGACTCCATATTCTGGCGTTGACAATGGGAAATAAGCAGATCCACTGCACTCTTTTTCCTCGTGTATTGTCTACAGTGTAAACTGATGTTTTTAACCTGTTTTTGCACAGAACAGCAGGAGAATTTGAGGGCAATCCCAGAAGACTGTCAGGATCTTGCTTAAATTCAGCCTCCCCAAGCCCCTGGATTCCTTCTGGGTGCTCATCTAGCAAAACTGGCCTTACCACAGATTGCAGTCATAAAGTTCTTCCTTTTCTGCAGGCTTGGCAGGTTAGCTCCCAGTACTAGGCTCTATCTTAAAATAATTCTATTTATATCCTCACCAAGTTTGTTTAAAACTCATGTGTTTGTAAATGAAGAGCTTTCCAGCTCACTGTGGATATTAAACTAAAAGGGAAGCATGAAGGGGTTTTGAAACTGCTAATAAGGTAGCATTCCTAGCTGCCTTTCATCCCTCATTTCACAAGATCCCAGAGCACTTTGCAGATGTAAACACAGAGCTGCTCTCCCAGCAGTGAGAGGCAAACAGTGCTGGGGTGGACTGTGGCTTCACCACTGCAACTCCCCACGAGCTGTGATGGGCTCTCCTTTTGCTTTACCACCCCGTGGCTGTTCAACTGCAGAGTCCAACAGGCAAGGAAAATGCTATTGCCCAGAAATAAATGCCTTGTACACGTCAAGAACTGCCCTGGTGCAGATGGTTCACTTTTCCACAGTCAGTTACTTGCAACCAACTAATACAGGATTTAAGAGACAGAGCTATTTTCAGCTGAGCCAGAAACATACACAGAAAGGACACCGGTGCCTCAGGCTTTGGTCAACAGACTGGAGTTGATGGCTCTGTCCCAGACATTAAATGCATTGTAGTTTTTAACAGAAGCTGTTCTTTAAGAGCTGGGTTGCTAGCCTGATGCAAACCCTTCAGTCACAGTGCCAGTGCAAACCCCCTTTTTAGGTGGGGAGGCTCAGCTTAGATTCCAGGCAAAGGATGCCACCTACTGCATCCTTGCTACCATGAGCACAGCTTTGACCCTCCTGGCTCCAGACCTCTGGCACGATCACAAGCCAGACTGCAGTCCCAAAATAAATTCCAAGGAAAAGTAGAAAACAGGCTTGTAAAAATGAAGCTTTTCTCCCTGCTACTCTCTCCACAACCCGAAGATGTATTACTCACCAAACATCTGCACAGCCGTAATAATTTCTAGTTTTGCAACACTGACAACCTTAGGAGTATTAAAAAAACTTACATCTTTATTCCATTTTGGATTCATTATAATACAGTCTGACAATATATGCTAGTACAGTACATTCTGCAACATTTAACCCCTGCTCCCAGCTGCCGTTCTTAACTTCACGGCTTAATGACACAGAGTCAGTAGATCACAATATGACCCTGTTAATATTTTTTTTAATGCCATTTTTACAAATTACAGCATAATGCACTGATTATGAGGATGAAAGGAAAGTCTCTACGTCTGTCTGGAAACCAAATAAAAGAATGTTTGAACATCTGTTCATCCTACAAATGTCTTTTAAAGCTTTGATTTTCCCATAATCATTTTGTTCCACCATTTCACCCTTTTTCGAATGTGTATCCAACAGCCTCAGGACAGTAGCCAGAGATCTGCAGTAATAGCACATTATAATCAAAGTTCTTGGGCACATTTAGGTTCTCCCTTTGGAATTCTACATCGGGAGAAACACAAAACACACAAGCCCCAGTCTCCAACAGATCCCTCCCCAGCTGTGTGTCCCACAGAGACGTCTGCAGCAGGAGCAGAAGGAGAGGACGAGGCTTTGTGACAGGGGCTTTCTGCAGAGGATTCCGAGGCACAAGGGCAGGGTAGGGGGCAGCTGAAGGCACTGCCTGCTCCTGTGGGTCCATCAGAGCTGCTCAGGGTCAAAGCCTGAGCAGAGGCAGCTCCTCAGTGCACGCAGGAGCTGGGATGAGCTGCAAGCCAAGAGCCTTCCCCACCTCACAGGGCTCCCAGCAACTGCCGTGGGAGCCCTGCCATGGATCTCCAGGGCAAGAGCAGGGAGAAGCAATGAGCAAACAAGGAAATGGGAGCACTGAGGAAGAGATCAGATCTTAGACTGAGAAGATGGAAGAAAAATGCCAAGCTAGTATGCTAGTCTGGAAATGAAATGGAAGATAGGAGGGAGATTTTAAAAATATGTTTACAAGAGACTGGATGAGAAAGGGATGGAGGTCCAACTCTGGAATTATTGCTGCTCACTCCCTTGGAGTACCCAAGCAAATAAACCATGGGACTCCCTGCACTAGGAGTCCTTTCAGCCAAGAAGAGGACTGCAAATCTAAGTGTTCAGGGTTAATGAGTTTTCAAAGGGATCAAGTTCCATAACAACAGACTCACTGATCCTGTTAAGGGCAATCCACGGTGTGGGGGGGAAAACATTCATCAGATAGGCTTTGCAAAAATACATATCCCCATTTACACTGACAACCTCCTCTCCAGAACTACTCAAAAGTGTCTTAGAAATGAGAAAAGACAAAATCCTTTAAATGCAAGGATAACAACTCTGGAAGCACCTTTTCTTTCCAATACTCCAAATTAGCAACCCATTTAAAATTTGGCAAGGACACTAGAACAAGTATAAGTTCCTTAATAACTAGGAGCATTTAATTAGGTTTTTTTATACCCATAATGCTTAGACTAACCTAGGATGATAGTAACACTGTTCCTTCAATGTCACCTGTTCATCACTGCAGTATCTTAGGCAGAGGTACCAGTGCAGAGTAAAAAATGGGATTTGATAAAGGCTTAAAAGAAAGATGACATTACAAATATTCTTTCCAAAGACTGCTTTTGGGGGTGTTTGGGAAGAAGAGAGAAATGGGGAAGGAGAGGTGACAGGGGTGTGAAATGCATTTTTTCCATTACAGAAGGATACATTTTCCAGCAAGGCTGGCAGCACAAGTTACGTTAAGCCAATAGCTGAAGTTGCCTGCCTAATTCCTCTGGGATCACACTGAAAGCATACCCCATAATCTTAAGGGATGTGCTAAAGCTTTGCTGGGACTCACTCAGCAGAAACTGTTTGGGATTATTACACAAAGCACTAATTCTGTTCTGATTTAAAGGGGGACCATCAGCCTAGTTTAGACACCAGGCTTGCTCTGTCTCACAGCTGTCCAGCGGTAAATATCCTCTCAACAGATGATAACTTTGCCATTTGTAGCCACTTTGGCTACCTAGAAATTAAAAGGGTAAGACTGGAAAAAAAAAATCAGGTTCATGTTAACATGATGGACTCATGCCCATCGAGGGATATAATAATATGATTAATAAGAATGAATGCAGCAATTATTTACCTCCATGTGCAACATGCACTTACATTTACAAATTATCACCATCTATAGCTGACTTCAGCAAAGGGGTCACAGGCTGCAATTCAGCATCAACAAGCAGGTAATCTTTTTGTTCAAAAGGCAGAAACCAACGTTTGCCATGCTGCCAAGCCCAAGTTCAATGTCTGTTCCAGACTGCAGCTTTCATACCTGTGGAATTGCTGTTAGTTTTCATGTTAAGGTGTCCTATACTTTGTATGCAACAAGGAAGGGATATTACCAGTGCTCTCCTTTTTATGAGCCTAGGACATGAAATTGAGAGAAAGAACTAAAGCAGCCATGAAATCCCTATTAAAAACTAATGGTTTCTAAAGCATCTTGGAGACACTCATTTTACAAGGCTTATGCAGCAATCTTCTATCATTATTTTAAAGAAATAAAGCCCTTGACTATTTCCAGAGGCAACTTTTTCTTTCACACACAAAAGGCATTTTGGTTACAAAAAAACAAAAAAGGAAAAAGAAAATGAAAACAGTTTTGGAATAGGATTCATTGCAGAACAGGCAGGAAAATAAAAAAAGTTACATAAAATGTCACTGAAGATAAATTTGGAACCTTTGGAACAGCAAACAGAACAATTAAGACTCTCAGCTACACAGATCATTATGTTTAATATGGAAAACATTTCTAGATATAAACTGTATTTATAAAAAACATCCACACCATCTCTCAGATAGCATCTTACACAGTTGCAACTGAAGGAATGTGAAACATCCATTTTAGCTTTCACCTATTAAATAGTATGCCTTCTATCTCCCACTCTGCTCAAAGAAGTAAGCCTAGAATAATCAGCTTCACTTTGTGGGTCACATGAAATTCACACCCAAACTTCTAAATCAAGAGAAACTTCAACAGTTATCCAGGAAAACAGTGCAATTAGAACGTACACCCAGGGCTGCTCATCTGGCAGGTGAGATTCTCTGAGATGCCATAAAGATGCACACCACAGAAATTACAAAATAAGCAAATTTGAACAGAACAATCTGAGATTGCAGAGATTTTGGAAGGGGGCACAGTCAGGAAAAGCTTCCAGGCTCTGTTTGTGAGGAAGGAACAGGTCTAATGTGTTTGAACAAGAAACACATTACACCTCAATGCATTTCAGGGTCTGGACTTTAAGGTGTAATCAGAGGCCTCTCTTGTTTCCTCAGGACTGAATCATTTTCTTCTGTGTGTCAAAAACATATCTTTTAAAGATAAGTGAGATAGTAACAGGTTGGGCTGAATCATTCTTGCTGCTTTCATCCTCTTTGGTCACATCCCCCTTCCCTCCCTTAGATTTCTTCTTGGAGGCAGCAGTTAGCAGCATCTTGGTATCTGGCTTCAGCCCATCTGTAAAAGAACAAGAACACACATGATTAACACACTCAACATTACATTTCAGAGAACTAGAAAAAAATGAGCAGGCATGTTTTCATCTGAAATCAACCAAAGAAAATAAAGTAAATCAAATGCATTAGGGAAGTCACATTTCTGCATAAGACTCCTGCAGTATGGTAGTTTACATAGAAATAAGAGAAGTCTTTAAACATAAAGTTCACAACAGTGATACCACAAATCCAGTGCAGTATCCTGAATCCTTCAGTGTCCATCTACAGCTTTTAAAGTATTAAACACAGGCAACAACTTAAACAAGCCAGGCCAGCTTGCCTGGTCTCAGTCTTTTATTTGGCAGGCCTTTCTTATTATTTAGACACATACCCAAAGTTTCTTGTCATCACTAAGAATATTTATAAAAATATAAGTAATGAATAAAAAACAACTGGTAAAACATTAAAATTATAGAGAGCCACAAGGCTCAGAAGATTCTTGAATTTCTTTAAATCTATTTTCTGGATTTACCTGAAGCACACTGCTTTTTTTATAACTTACACATTGTAAATTATACATGTTTTGTGTTTGTTTATGTTTGCTGGGTTTTTTGTTTTTGTTTTTATTTTGTTAAGACAAAGTATTTGTTAGGGATTTCAACTTGCACTGCTTATTGCTTAGGGGCACTAGAATTAAGCTGCATAGTATTTTGGGGATCTATTTCTCCAGACATTTGTGCCAAACAAAAATATTTGTCCTTTTCCTCCTAAACTGACAGGGTTTGTTACACCTTTATTTTTTCTTATAACTCAACACATTGGTAACATTTTAGATAAGAAAAGCAAGATAGCAAAGTCCAGAGAAATGCTGTAAAACAAGAGAGATGCAGCTCCTAAAACACCACTCCTGAAGAAGCACTTGCATAAGGCAGAAAGCAACAAGCTCCTCAAAGCTTTTTCAGTGCCACCTGAATATGCTACAATGTGGTCTTCAGGCTTTGGGCCAAAATCAGTTCAGGTATTTTTAACCTGTGGTGTCACATAACCTTATCTCAAACACTTAATCAGCCTCTCTCTCTTCATACTGAAATTCAGATGCGGATTCTCGTATCACAGCCTGACAAAAAGGTTGAGATGCTTATGATTTCCTGGAGACAGGAGGTCTAGGGGCACAGGTGAACTGCTCCAGCTCACACACATCCAGGGCCACTCCGAGCTGATGGCAAGGGGACACAGCCCAGAGCCCAGCCCCTCATCTGGCTGTGTCAGAGAGCAAATTGTGCCAGCAGCATTCCCACCGCACGGCCAAGGGAAGGGAGGAAGTGAGGAAGTGTTGAAGCAAAACCAGGAAGCTCCCAGTTGCCATTTCCCAATCACAGCCCTGAAGTGGGGAGATTTTCACAGAGAGGCGTCTTTTATTTGGAAAAAAACCCAAAAAACAAAGAAAAAACACAACAACAACGGGGAAAAAAGTGCAAGATTCCATAAGAGGAGAAAATCAACATGGTTTTTATAAAACTAAATAATTGACAGCCCACACTAAGGCTGCAGGAGTCCAGCATCAAGCACATTCAACTTTGTACAGTTCTGCAAGATCGTGCATTTCAGTCATGGCAGCTGCTGTTTTCTCTTTCCAGATGGCAGGACACAAAAAAAGCAATGATTATTTCATTGTGAAAATAATTGAGACTGTTCTTCCTTGATGGCTGAGAAGTCTGATAATGACTATCTTTGCACACGTAAGGTTCAATTAATCAAACTAGGTAATATGGTGTGGCGGGACCACATATTTATTATATGATTTTATTACATTGTAGAGTCATGTTTGATGCAGCTGTTTCGATTTTTTAATTGGATGCTTTCATATAAATCCCATTAATATCATTACCCTTACAATCACTCCATCTTCACTACGAAAAATAATTTATCACTACATGAAAAGCAACTTATTTCCTATTTGGAAAGCTCTGAGACTATTGTGGGTACTGCTAGAAAAAAAATAGCAACAGTCAAAAAAGGGGAAAACAAAATAAAAGCAGCAGAGAGAGTGACCTCAAGCAGCCCCACTCACTTTTGCAGAATTTATTTAATATTTTATATTTTATGTTTTTTACTGGTTTGATCAAGCTAATTGTAACTGTCCCTGTACAGGGTTTCCTCTGCTTTCCTGAGACAACCATTTATTTTTTGGACAAAGAAACATTTCATTTTGCTTTCTAGTTGGTTTCCCTTTCTGGGTCTTATCACTATTACAAATGTTGCTGTTACTGGCACAGCACTGTTTAAGAAAGATGTTTAACTAAATCCTTTCAGAAAGACACATTTTAATTAAAGCAAACAAATCCTAAAACACTTTTATTTTTGTTAGCAGGCTTTGCGAGACGCTAATTTCCAAAAAATGGTAATTGGCGGAAAGGAGAGAGGAAGGGAGGAGATGTGGCATTAAAATTGCAGCCAAAATTTTCCCTTATGGGCATCTGAAGAACCCAGGCTGCCTCTGCAAGCCCTTGCCCACAGGGACATGGCAGTGCTTGGCCTCTCACCCCCCAGAGACCCTGGGCTGCAGCAGCAAGTCAGGGAATTCTCAGCCACAAGAGTGAAATAACCACAGTGGATAAACTGAGCTTCAAACCCACCAGTGACATCAGCTTGGATGGCCCAACACAACTGAACCTGGCACAGCCTCTGTGGTGTTCATACAAAGCATCTCATGTCTGAAAAGTTCTGGTTTGGAGAAAAATTGCTCACTGCATGTGGAATTCTGCCGGGGAAAATGCATTTAAAACTGAGCCATCCCACCTCCTCCACCCTATCACTAACTTCCACATAGGAGAAGTGAAGGGATGCCTCACCTGCAGCACTTAACACCTATTTGGACTAAATAAGGTTTTCCAGGTAAGAAGTTTACAGAAAAAATGGCAGAAGGTGGCAGTTTGTACCAGTGAAGTGACAGGCTGCCAGCCAGAGGCAGCTCAGGTATTACTGGACTCACATGGTATCTAAATTACCTAATCAGATCCCATGGCCCTCATTCTGCAAACAGATTAGGTGGCTGGCATCATACCCTGACAAATGGCATTTTCTGTTTTTCTGCTCTGGTGCCAGCAGGTCTCAGGGCTGAGGAGGCTCTGAGACAGGGAGCAGCACAAAGGAGCAGGCAGAGAGAGACAGGCACAATCGGGGTTTCATCTACCTCCGTGGATTTCTCACATTACACACAATGCATACTTTACATTTTACAAAACCAAGGAAATGAAGGGAAATATATCTGTCACCGAAGAAGACATCAGAGCTTTAATAGCTGAAATGACGGATATTTTTAGATGGAGGTCTAGTTTAACTTACTTACATTAAGGGTCTAATCTCTGATGAACAATAGCTATGTTAGCTTGAACACATAGTGAGAAATCTGTTCCATTAATTAAGTGCTGCCTGTACTACTCGGATTTGTAGCAAATGTTAATAGATTTTTTTTTTCTTCCTCTGTTGGACAATTACTTTATTTTGCCAAGTTGCTAATGGATTAAATTGAAAAGGTCCATGTGTTAAAAAAGACTTTAGCTTCAAAGTTCTAAAAAATGCCTTGCATACAACAATGGAAAATACCTATGTATTAATATTATTAATGGGCCATCCTCAAAGGCACATAAGATATGTGAAAGCTTAGCAAATTCATTCCTACCCATCAAAATCATGTCTGTAAGAAGAAGAGCCCAGACAAGGTCTTATGCAAAATGTACTTTTAGCATCCACTCATGCAGGTTAGAAAATCTAGTTGCAAAACAATGTAATTTACTTCATTCTTTTCAACTACTGTTAATAATTGACAGATAAAAATACAGACTCTAATATCCTTTGTTTCAGAATGGCCTGAAGGATTTAGTCCAAACGGATCCATTTGTAAGTGATATTAATAAAAAAATTCATTTTCAAATTCAAATGAAAAGCAATACCAAATCAGGAAGAACGATTTCACACGCACAAAATAAAGGAAAAGCACAGTATTTTATACAATTTTCACAAATAAAAAGCTAGCAGCTTAGTGATTTGCAGTATCTTACACAGTGCCAGTGTTGAGTTTTGCAATTGCTCGCACAAGAAATAAGCGTAGAAACACACAGATTTTAACCACTTCATACAGAAATTCCACACTGTAGAACTCTGGTCACCTTCTTGTGTATAGAATAAAATCCATTTTTATCTGTACACAATGGATCCAGCTCCATTCCCTCCCTCCAGGGAAGTTCCTCCCATGGAGAGCAGTTCTGCCCTGTGCACACCCTCCTGCAGAGGACAGGCTCCACATCAGCCAGCCCGGAATGCCAGCCCTGACAAATCACAACACCCACACACAGCACCACAACCACGCTCACTTTTGCTTTGTTTTCACTCCTGCTTCAGCTGGAAGGAGGATGAAAGCTGACACAGTATCTGCTCCTCCAATTCCTTTTGCTCACCCAACAGCAGGGTGAAGGAGCACCTCTGTGCTTTTGCCCCATATAAATATTTTTTTCATTACCTGTAACCTTGGACTATACTTTGCCTTTTACACTTTTAACTTCCCCACTACACATTCTCCTTCACTTAATACTGTCATTCCTTATCAACATCCCTTGTCAGATTTGTTGACTTTTTTTCTTATTAGCCTTCTGCTTCCCTGCTCCTTCAAAAGGTCCCCAAGAACAGACCCTGTTCTTTCTTTCTGAAGTCCAACTCCTTCCTCCTTGACTCACAATTGCACTTGCTATTCAGCCCTTCAGGAGTTTTATCTCTCTCTCTCCCCCTTTTCCAACTGAATTTTTCAGATTTCCCATCTCTGTATTTCTATTTCCTATTTTCACAGTTCTCTTCAATATTTAGGAATAGTTCTGTCTCCTTCAAAGCTAATGAAACATTGTGTTTGAAGGCAAGATTTTAAAGACCGAATGCCAGACACACTTTAGATGAGAAGCAAGATAATACAGTATCTCCTTGTAGCCCAGCCAGAGACAGGAGCAATTTTTAAGCAACTGATAACCCATC